TAGAAGAATTGATGCTTTTGAGTTATGGTGTTGGAGGAGAATATTGAAAGTGCCATGGGCTGCCAAAAGAACTCACAGATCTGTTTTGGAAGAAGTGCAGCCAGAGTGTTCCTTGGAGGCCAGGATGGCCAAACTTCATCTCTCATACATATTGTCAGGAAGGACCAGTTGCTGAAGAAGGATATTATGTTTGGTTAAGGTAGAGGGTCAGAGAAAAAGAGGAAGACCCCCAGCTAGATGGATTGGCAAAGTGGCAGCATCAGTGGGCTCAAGCATGGCAACAATTGTGAGGTTGGCCCAGGACTGGGCAGTGTTTCGTTCTGTTGTGCTTAGGGTTGCTATGAGTCGGTACCCACTTACTGGCACCTAACAACAATTTTTCCATGAATGTTGATGGATGATCCAAGCAAAATGAAGTCTTTGACAATTTAAATCATTTCTCCATTTATATGGATGTTGTTTATTTGTCCAATGGTGAGGGTTTTTGCTTTCTTTACATTGAGATGTAATCCATACCGAAGGCTGTGATCTTTGATCTTCATTAAGTATTTTAAGTCCTCTTCACTTTCAGCAAGTAAGGTTGTATCATCTGCATATCGCAGGTTGTCAATGAGTCTTCCTCCAATCCTGACGCCACGTTTTTCTTCATAGAACCCAGCTTCTTGGAGTATTTGTTCAGCATACAGGTTGAATAAGTATGGTGAAAGAATACAACCTGTCACACACCTTTCCTAATTTTAAACCATTTAGTATTCCCATGTTCTGTTTGAACAACTGCTTCTTGGTCCTGGTACAGATTTCTCATGAGCACAATTAAATGTTCAGGGATACTCATTCTTCTCAATGCTGTCCATAGCTTGTCATGATCCACACAATCGAAAGCCTTTGTGTATGTAGTCAGTAAAGCAAAAGTAAACATCTTTTTGGTATTCTCTACTTTCAGCCAAGATCCATCTGAAGTTAGCAGTGATATCCCTCGTTCCATGTCCTCTTCTGAAACTGGCTTGAACCTCTGAAAGTTCTTTGTCAGTGTGGTTACAACCATTTCTGTATTACCTTTAGTAAAACTTTGCTCACATGGGATATGTATGACATTTTCTGGGGATAGCCACATTCTGTTAGATCACCTCTCTTTGGAATGGACACAAATATGGAGCTCTACTAGTCAGTTGGCCAGACGGTTGTCTTCAAAATTTCTTGGCATAGATGAGTGAGTACCTCCAGTGACATATCAGTTTGTTGAAATATTGTAATTTCTATCCCATCAATTCCTAGTGCCTTTTTCTTTGCCAGTGCCTTCCTTCAATGTACCTTGTACTTCTTTCTTCAGTATCATTGGCTCTTGATCATACGCTACCTCTTGAAATGGTTGAACATTGACCATTTCTTTTTGGTACAGTAACTGTATATTCCTTCCATCTTCTTTTAATGCTTTCTATTATCCTTCTGCAATTTGCTTAGATAATCCTTCAATACTTCATATTGAGGCTTGAATTTTTTCTTCAGTTCTCTCAGCTTGAAAAAAGCCGAGTGTGGTCTTCCCTTTTGGTTTTTCAACTCCAGGTCTTTGCACATTTAGTTATAATTTTTTACTTTGTTTTCTTGAGCTGATCTTTGAAATTTTCTGTTCAGCTTTTGTACCCCCTCATTTCTTCCATTTGCTTCAGCATCTCTACCTTGGAGAGCAAGTTTCAGAGCCTCTTCAGACACCACACCATTTTGGTGTTTTCTCTCCATCCTGTCTTCTTAATGACCTTTTGATTTCTTCCTGTATGATGTTTCTGATGTCATCCCACAACTCCTCTGGTCTTCTGTCTTTAATGTCTAAAATATCAAATCTGTTATTCAAGTGCACAACTCTGATTGTGCTAAAAGGAAAAAAACCAGTGAGTTACTTTAAGTGATTTGTCCAATATGTGTATTGTATCTCAACAAGGCTGCTGAAAAAGAAGTTTTGCCACTAAAATTGAATGTTTATGTTGTTAAGCGCTATCAAGTTGGTATATCATTAAATTTGGATATACCTACATTAGATTTTATAGATTGCCCAGTGTCTGTTTATGATTAATTCTAATTTTTGCTAAGAAATACAAAATGATTAGCTCCAGCTCAAAACAAAATTAGTAGGCATAAATGAGAGAGTCAAGTCAGTCACTAATGCTATTTTTTCTTGAGAGCATGTCCATACCTTTTCAGATTCAAAACCATCACTTAATAAATGAACCCTAGAAAGTAATATTAGAGAAAGTCATGTGGAAGTGGTTTATGCTTTCTGTGACTAGGAAAAGCATGATAAAATTGCAGTATAATATTTTGAGCATTTCCCCAAGAACCATAGGCATTGAGTGCCCATGAAGGAACTTAAAAATTAAATAAATTAACATAATAATATATGTTAGTAAAATACAAAAACTTTAACTATTTCAAAACTCACTATTTCTCTAACTTATCCTTTGGATTTGAGCAGAAAAGTTTATAAGTATGTTTATGTACCTCTTTCTTTTCTCACCTTGGAGTATTGTTGTTAAGTGCCATCAAGAGGGTTCTGACTTCATAGTGACCCTGTATAGGGTTTCTGAGGAGTGATTGGTGAGTTCAAACCGCTGACCTTTCCATTCAAACTGAACTTGAGGTCTAGTGCTTATCCTACAGCACCACAGCAGGACTCTTACAAAGCAGATTAATGGTAGAGTATTTAGAGTATTATTTAAACTCTGATAAATATTCAAATAATTTTTAGTCATTTGCTGTAATAAATTTTACTCAGCAAAAAATTAAACCATTTAAAAAATTATCTTAACATTATATTCAATTCATTTGCTTCACATTTTTTCTCTTTTCAGCATGATTTGGTTTTCAGTTATTTTAACTAAGATAATTATTGTTAAGAGTCAATTCCGAATCATAGAGACCCTGTAATTAAAATCATTTAGTTTCTAACAAGGTATGAAAAATAGATTGTCATTATTAGTAGAGAAAAATTTGTTTTTAAACATTAAAGAAAATGATGAAGTGAAGCTTCACCTACTGGGAAATCTGAAGGGATTTGAAAAGTTTTGCTTTTAATGTCTTATTGTTGCTCATTCCACAGTCATGGTTCTTTTTTTCTCCACATGCAGGTTTGACTGCGCAGACCGGCAGTTCCATTCCATTCCTGCCACCTGGCAGGCTCTCATGGATAACCCTTATGATGTGAAGGAGCTTATTCCTGAATTCTTCTACTTCCCAGAGTTTTTGGAAAATCAAAATCGTAAGAAATAGGGAATTAAGAATTTGACTCAACAAGTCTGAATGAAATGAGAAATGTCTTACAGAAAATGTTTGTGATATTCTACTGATTCTATAAAGTTCAGTCTATGGATTACTCAGAGACAGGGTTTAACCAGTGCCCAGGTATCAGTCTTACCTGCCAGGAAATACACCAACACCCAAAGCATTCACATTAAGCATTGTGCTGCTAACCTTAGGTTCTGGTTTGAAGCCACCAGCAATTTCACAGTCTGCTTCCTTAAAGATATACAGCATCAGAAACGCTGTGGAGCAATTCTGCTCTGTCCTGTAGGACTACTGTGTATCACAATCAACTCAACAGCAGTGGATAAAACTAGTCACAGGTAGTGGACAGAAATTCATTAATTAGTTAATTCCTGTGTCATAGTAGGTAGAAATGGACACTTGAACAAAAGCCAAATCTTGGCTGTCAGATAATAAGAAGAATTGACTATGAGTTGGGTCACAAACTTGTACACAAAGTTGTATCTGCTGTATCATGGTTGGGTTAAGATAAAGCTGAAGAGCCTGTACATCCTATCATTCTATCGCCTTTAAATCTTTCTCCAACTTGGGAAACACTGGTACTTTTGTAAGTATCTACATAGAATTGTTTTTGTTTTTGTCAGATACCATCGAGTGGGTTCTGATTTATAGTGACCCTGTGTACAATACAATGAAATACTATCCAGTCCTGCACCATTTTTACGATTGTTATGTTTGAGCCCATTGTTGCTGCCTTGTGTCAATCCATTTCATTGGGGGGTCTTCTTTTTTATTAACCTTCATAGTATTATTGCTGTTACATGGTGTTGAGTCAGTTCCTACTCATAGTGACCCTGTATAGGGTTTCTAACTAGTGGCTTGTGGTTAACAGTCCAGTGCGTTTCCTATAGTGTTACAACAGGACTCCTTACATAGAATAGTGGTATATAGATATATTATTCTTTCAAACACACCTTACCCAGAGAGCAAATTTAAAGCATTAAAGACCTGTATTTCTTAAATGAACCATTAGTGGGACTATTTATTTGTTTTATTACGTAAAATTTATTTTTAAATTGTGGTAACATCTGTAACAAAACATTTGCTGTTTTAAAACCATTTTTATGTGCACTCATGAAATTCAGTTAACAGTAATTACATTCACAATGTCCATTACCATTAACAATTTCTAAATTATTTTCATTATTAGAAGAAACTCAATACCTGTAAGCAGTAACTCCTCATTTTATCCTCACACCCACTCCTGGTGATCACCAGTGAACTTTGGTCTCTATGCATTTCTCAATTAGAAATTCTTAAAAAATCTGAATTTCTCAACTTAGATCCATATAAGATAATTATACAATATTTTTCTTTTGTGTCTGGCTAATTTGGCAAGGTTCATCCATGTTGTAGCATATATCAAAACTTGATTCAATTTGTGTCTGAGTAATCTTCCATTGTATGTATACACCATATTTTGTTTATGCATTCATGTGTTGATGGAAACTTGGGTTGTTTCTACATTTCAGTGTTATTTACTTTTAATGAAAAAAATGTTTATTTTTTGTTAAAATTAAGATGAGAATAATAGCTGTAGTTTCTCCACTTTTCTCAACAGAATAATTTGATTTACTTTACAAATAACTAATTTTAAACTTTTATTTTCACGTACAATATTTTAATCAACTAATTAAATTCATCCTGACAGATAAGAATTATTTTTATTTGTGGAAATTTTTAGGACAAAAGAGAATTCAATTCTCATCTTTTATTCTTAACTAAAGAAGAAAAATATCTTCTGTTTTGCATAAGAATATACTCTAATTTGTGTTTGTTTTATTTGATTCATTTAATCTGAAATCATTTATTAATTTATCTTTTACATGTCTTAGAATTTAATTTGGGTTGTCTACAAGTTTCCAAAGAACTAGTTAATGATGTCATTCTCCCCAAATGGGCTAATTCAGCTGAAGATTTCATCTATAAACATAGGCGAGCTCTGGTAAGACTTTTGTCTTTAGTTATTAGATAGATTAAGATGGTAAAGTCATATGTTATTTAGAGGATCAAGAAGTATCTATTTTTTTTAGATTAATTTGTAACTTATTACAATATGTGTATGCTGCTTTAGAAAACATAATATACTAATTTACTTTGAGAATACGAGTTTTGATATAGTGAAATATAGTATAATTTTATTTATCAAAAAATTAAATATTTTCAGTACCATAGTATCTTGCAGATAATAGTGGTGTCTCTATATTTTTCTGATAATAGACAATTTATTTATCTAAAGTAGAATGTGGCAGATTCTGAAAATAGGCCAATAGTTTGTAACATTTCTTGTCATTAATAGTTTGTCAAGTTTATAAAATTCAAGATTAAATTATAGCCTTTGTAAGCAAATTTTTTTATTTTAGGATTAGATTGTAACATTTATAAGCAATAACCCTATGCATGAATGGTGGTGGTGGTGGCTGTGTGCCGTGGAGTCGGTTCCGACTCATAGCGACCCTGTACAGGGTTTCCAAGGCTGTAAATCTTTACGGGAGCAGAACGCCTCATCTTTCTCCCATGGAGTAGCTGGTAGTTTCGAACTGCTGACCTTGCGGTTCGCAGCCCGATTCGTAACCACTACGCTACCAAAGCTCATGCATGAATAGGGATCTGAAAATAGTAAGACAAAATATTACAAAAGTAACCTGCTGCTTAGCAGCTAGCAACTTCTTATCTGCTTTTTTCATATACTATCCATGAAAGGAAATGGGATCTGGATGTTGAAAGATGTACTTTCAAGATCATTATTAATAAGATATTCAGAGGTGTGTAACAAGCTGTTCTGACTGTCTCAGTAGATTACAAATTCATAGTCTTCTGGTCTTGCTTATGGTTTCTCATGTGATTGCAGTTGTATGACAACTAGGGCCGTAGCCATCTGCAGACAACATTGACATTGACATACTGGGAGAACTGGGCTTCTTACTCTCACCATGTCTCCAAAAGTACAAAAGTGGGAGCTACATGCTTTTTTTTTTTTTTAACTCTTTTATTGAGATTTGAGAATTTGGTTTTCCATTTAACATTTTATATGCATTTTTGGGGGGGTATCGATTATAATTCTCACAATGTAACAGTAGTCTTCCCACTTCCTCTTATGTTTACCATTTCTCTTCATCCTTCTTTCCTATCCCTTACTGTCTTCTAAGAGCATCCATGGTTTCTAAAAGGTTAGGTTCAGAATTGTCACAGATTCACTTCTGCCATCTTATAATGGTTACGAATCAGGCTGCGAACCGCAAGGTCAGCAGTTCGAAACTACCAGCTGCTCCGCAGGAGAAAGATGAGGCGTTCTGCTCCCGTAAAGATTAACAGCCTTGGAAACCCTGTGCAGGGTCTCTATGAGTCGGAACCAACTCCACAGCACATCACAACAACAACAACTTAATGGTTAAGCAGTCACAAAAACCCAGACAAATCAAATCCACTGCTGCTGTGTCTATTCCTACTCATAGTGGCCCTTTAGGATGGACTAGAACTGATCCATAGGATTTCTGAAACAGACTGCCTCATCTTTCTCTTATGGAACAGCAGATAAGTTCAATTTGTCTGTTAGCAGCCCAATACTTAACCCACTGCACCACCAGCACTCTTGAAGCTGTCACAGGATCCATTCCAATTCAAGGAGAAGGAAAGTAGACTCTCCTCTCAGTGTGGGGATTGACAACGATTTTGCAGCCTTTAATCCACCACACATTGTGTCCATTGTTGACAAATTATTTATATTCTGCATGACAAATATTCTCACTTCTTCTCAAGGCTCCCCAAACTCATCCAGTTAAGCCTAAGAGCAGCAAACTTTTTCTGTAAAAGACCAAACAATAATCATGTTTGACTTTGTGGGCCATAAAATACGTGTGACAGCTACTCAGTTCTGTCACTGAGGGGAAGCAAATACGTTGTGTGTGTTTTTTTCTAATCTGCAAATCTGGCAGCCAACCAGATTTGGCCCCAACAGCAGTATGCTGACCCACCCTGCATTAAGGCATCAGACTTGAAGTCAGGCTCTCATTATCTAAATCAAGTCCATGTGTGGATGAGACTCCTCAAGTATGGTTCCTCTTGTGTGAAAACTGTGAAGTAAAGAGACAAGTAATCTATCCCTATCACTGTTATTGTTAAGTGCTGTCCAGTCGGTTCCTACTCATAGCTGTATAGGGTTTCCAAGGAGCCACTGGTGAGTTTGAACTGCTAACCTGTGGTTCAGACCAACCTTGCAATAAGATTCAGAGAGGAGAACCACAATAAGAGCTCCCATTCAAAAACCAAATAGAAAAACAAAACCTACTGCCTTTGAGTCCATTTTAACTCACAGCAGCCCTGTAGGACAGAGTGGATGTGCCCCATGGGATTTCCAAGGCTATAAATCTTTTGTGGAGTCAGACTGTCATGTCTTTCTCTTGCAGAGTGGTTGGTAGGTTTAAACCACCCTGGAAGTGGTTCTTAATGACTCTTAATTCTACCCTTAGGCTCTTGATCTCCCACTCCTCCTGTTCCGTAAAAAAAGACCATTATTACAACTGACTATCTTTCTTGGAGTCCTGGTGTGGTGCCATTTGAACTGCAAGGTTGGCAGTTCAAGCTCACCAGCTGCTATATAGGGTCACTATGGGTCGGGATCAACTTGATGGCACTTACCAACAACAATATCTTTCTTAGCCTCTTCTGACCATACCAAACCGAATAGTTCATTTCAAAATGCATATTATCCCTCCACATTTTTTTCATAGGCAGTTAAAAGAAACCAAATGGCATTATAAAACATTCTAGCTGGTAATGTCCACACCCAGATTTATGAGTTTGAGGTACCCTTTCAAACTTTCATGTATCTAAATCATGAACCCCCCTTCTCTTGTTTCTCTTGTTTCTAGTAACAATTTCTTCACTGTCTTTCAAGCTAATACATCATTAGGCCTCATGCCTGCTCCCCAATCTACCTGTTGAGACAGGTGGAGGACAGTTTGCAGTCATCTTTAATCTTCCACACTGTGGTGTCAGTATTTCTTTTAGTTGAATTTCTATACAACTGTTTCAGTGGAAAATTCTCAATAAAGATATCATTAATTATTCTGTTGTGTGGGCTAGTCGAATATTTCTGTCATTTTCTTGCCCATTAATAAGGATATGCATTGTACTAGAAGTTAGTAAGTATGACGTTTATATTATGGTACATATGAATAGTCAGTGCATGTGGTGGATATTGAATAAATATTTAACATGATTTTAAAATAATTTGATTTATGGCCCCTAAACTTTATGTATGGAGCTGTTTAATTTACTCTTACTTTTTTTAAAGGATCCATATTTGCATTTTAGTTGGAAGATATCTCTACACTAATTATTTAATTTGTTCTTTTTCTAGGAGTCTGAGTATGTTTCTGCTCATCTTCATGAATGGATAGATTTGATTTTTGGCTATAAACAGAGGGGGCCAGCTGCAGTAGAAGCACTAAATGTTTTCTATTACTGTAGTTATGAAGGTATAAGCCTATATAGTTTTTAATCGTATATTGATAGAAATTATAATTTAATTTGCATTTATACATGATATTTTAGGCCTGCTTAATGTCAAAAGGACTACTTTTTTTAAATGTTGTGGTCTTTTTTCTGTTTGAAAGATTAAGAGGTTGGTGCTTTTCTTTCTTTTCTTTTTGGTATTGTAGTTAGTTTTATATGTGCAAATCTAATTATAGCTGTCAGTTATTAGTGTCATATAAACTTATATGGATGTGAAAGCTGGAC